AGCGTCTGCCGGCGCCCCCGGACCACACCTCCCATCCTCCTCGGCCGCCCCGGCAGATTCAAGGACGGAAGGAGGGAGCCCGGTCTAGCGCTAACCGTGCATGCGCGCCGGGGTCAGGGGAGCCCTGAGCTGGGGGCTGCGGAATCCCGCCCCCCGAGCGGGAGCCCTCCGCTGTGTCTTGAAGGCAGCCCCGCAGGGACTCAAAGAGGGGCGGCGGTCCCCGGGCGAGGCAGCCGCTCCCACCCCACCCCGGTAGGATTCAGGGTGCTTCTGCGGCCAGTGCCCTCAAGGTTGCCTGCTGACCCGGGGGCCTAATCTCAGGAGCCCGGGCCTGCCCCAGAGAAGGAGAACCCAGCCCAGGAAGTTGCCCATCCTTCTCTCCTGTGAATTTCATGTTGGCGCTTGGAGCCCCCGGAGGAGCGGAAGGACCTTCCTGCGTCGCCCGGGGCACCCGGTCGTGGTTTGCTCAACTGCAGGGTCCTGGCTCGTGCTTCACCCTAATCCTTAATTTTGCGCCTGAGTTTGCACAACAGCCTTTGCCGACATGAACCCCAGAATTGCAGGGCTCGCAAACTCTTGGGAGGGAGAGCGGGTCTTCGTGGATGAACGCCTTGCACTCTGACTTGGCCTTCTCCCCTGAGTCTCAGGGGGCTCTTCCCCTGCACAATGGCAGCCCCTTTACTGCATCTACTTCTGTGGGAGTTCCACTGGACGGTGTGGATCAGTTGTGGGGGAGGAAAGCCCCCTTGCCCCCCTCGAGCCTTCAGTTTTTGCTTTCTGGGCATGGAGCTGACGCCCTGCACTGGTTGGTCCCACATGCGGTGTTAAGAACAGAGTGCTTTAACCAATGATTTTGCGTCCCTTTCCTTCCCTGCTTTCTTCCTGCGTCTTTCTCTGGGCGTTTCGTGACTGTGAGCCTGGAGAGTCTTGTCCTGCATTTTATAAATAGGGTTGGCTAAAGAGCAGCATTAAAGTACTCACTAGGACATGGACTTTTCTTTTTTAAGGTGGAAACGGGAAGGACAGCTTCTGGAAGTACAGGAATTGCAAATCATTAGTAAATTCGGCCCTTCTGCACAAGGTGGATAAACTCAGAGCTGATAAAGCCCATCAGCAGCTAGAAACTGAAATGTAAAATGTAATTAAAAACACAATTAAGCACATGTTTTACAACCCTTTTCTTGTTCCTGCCATCCCACAATACGTTATATTCCCAGGATACGATGTCTGTTTGGGGAGCTGGCAAATAAGGACGGAGAGAAGGTCATCTTCAAAGCTTTTCCCGTGACTCGTGCAGCATCATGCCACGCGGGCTCCTATCCCCGGGTCTTAAGTCCATCTGGGATAGTTCCCATATTGTCTTTCAATGTCGTGCCACCTCACGCTTTCTACCGTGGATCACTCCTTGTTAAAGCCCAGCAGGGGTGTGTGGGTCACGGACCGCTGGCACAAGATGGGTTGGCCTGGTTTTGCTGATGGGAGGGCAGTTTGAAAGTGGCTACTTGACAGGCAGGATGGATCAAAATCTGAGCCCAGATTTAAGCCCTAACGCGTGGCAAACGGAGGCGGCCAAGTTCCTTCCCACACCGTCCCCCTCGGTGATAATACGAGCAGGACCTAAGGCCTGGCCCTTCGTGGGGTCATCAGAGGGGAACCGGCCGCGGTGAGTCGGTCCTTTAATTGGGACGGGCGTTTCTGTGCGGGTTCTGATACGTACCTGGAACGTTACGAAGGCGGTTGCTAGTGATTCTGTACCGAGAGCAGCCTTCCCATTTTCTGGAAGGGTTTTCCCTTGAGAAATGCATGCCGGTTGTTCCAGAGGCCAGATGCAGCTTCTGTGTGTGGGCAGAAGCCCCTTTCGGCACTGGAAGTGCCCAGGGAGAGGCTTGGAATGAAAGACCTCCTTGAGGGGAATCTCAGTGCCTCTGCAGGGCAAACCCCTTTAGGGAGACCCGGCTGCCCTGCCTATGGAACTTTGCCAAAAAAAAAAAAAAGGAATCATTATTATCACGTTCTCAGAATTATCCAGGTCTTTATATGCAAATGAAGGCTATACTTTAGTCAAGTATCCTAGGGCACCAAGTCATTTCCTTGGAGCTCCATCTGCAGACCTGATCATAGGAATGTAGAACAAAATACGGGGGCATGTCTGGAATTAGGTAGTACCACAAATAAAGGCAACTAGGCTGGAAGATACCTTGGGGGAGTTGAAATAGTTCAAAATATATTTGTTAGGATTTTCAAGGAGCAGAGGCGAAAGGGGCTCCCCACAAACCTTTCCAAAGAGCCCAGTCCAGAGATGCCATGGGGGCGGGTGGGGGTGTGTCTGGGGACCCCCTCCCCAGAGGACTCAAGCTCGAGGCCTGGTGAGCCCGCTGCCTGGACCTTCCTGGGTGGATTTCCAGGGGCCGGCGCCCTCCTGTCCCTGGCAGTTTCTCCTTGGAGGGCCAGAGGGAACTTCTCTCCTTTCAGGTCAAGTGAAGGTTTTTAAGTTCTTAAGCCGGAGAGGCTTAACTCCTTTACGAAGGAACAGACTAACACCGATAAAGCATTTTGGTGTTTACCTTTCTGGCAAAAGATACAGAACCCTTGACTCCTGTGCTCTGCCAGATGGTTTTTCAACCACCTTGAAGTGCAAAAACAAGAAGAGAGAGGGGGAACTCCCACTGTGGGTACAAATTAAGGCAATACTTTTATTAAACCAGAGAAGGTTTTCCAGAAAGACAAGCTTTTGAGGTTCCAAGAATTTTAATCAAACAAGGAAAGGAAAACCCCCCCAGATGGCTGGATTTTTAACTAGCCCTGGGCAAAGAAACTCCCTTGCATTTATTTCCTACAGAGTCTCATTCCATTTGCTGCAATATTTGTTTTAGTACTACTTTAATGGATAGGCAATTTATGTGGAGTGGTGTTCACTTACTTTGTGAAGAGGTGGCCAGGGCATGTTTGTTTGTTTGTTTGTTTATTTATTTATTGGATTTCTCTCCCGCCCATCTCCCCTACAATAGGGGAGCATGTACATGCTGTGTTGCCTTTCCTGGCACCCTCTTCTCTCAGTCCATCTTCATGCATGTCTGTGTGTGTGCGCGTGCACACAGAGCACTCTTCCAGCCCATCCCTTGAGGAGAGAAATCTCCCAAGCCTATTTTGGTGGCAGTGATCTTGCTGCTACAGGTGGAGAGTTTTGGGCTTCAGAAGTTAATGGAGACTGTCTTCTTCCTTTGGAGAAATCACATGCAGTATGCAATTTTTCCTGCCCATAACTGTAGAGTGGCTGCAAATAATCTTTGAAAATGCTTCCCTATTTTATCATATTGACACCAAGTTATAGTCTCTGACAGCATGCTAGCATCTTGGAAAGGCATGCAAATGTGGGCTCTAGAGTCCTCCTTTGAAATAAAAGCAGTGCAGGAGTTTGACACTTTCCAGAAGTCCAGCTTCACATTTGATTTTGTTTACTTAAAAAAGCAACGTTAAAAAAATGAAGGTCACTCAGCAGGTGGGCACCTCGGAAAGTATCCATGTTGCCTGCCACTGTGTCAGTCATTCATGTTGCCTTCAGGATTTCCATTTCACCTCACCTAAGATGATTCCTGACGTCTTCAAGCCCTAATGGAAAGAGACTTTCCAAAGAAAGTCCTCAGGACTGGAGTTTGCTATTAGCTTTTGCTAGCCAGGTTGGTTTAAAACAGTCTCTGAGTACCAATGGAGCCACACCCACAGGAGAAAAAAATAAATAAGACAGCTGTGGAGCTGCGTTGGGCCACCCTTGCCCAATAAGAGAAACGTGCGCTCCAAAATAAGGAAGCCTGGAACTGTACCCCAAGATACTTATAAGTGCGCACCTGCTCTATTGGGGGCCCATTTATTTGCTATTTATGTAACCTGTGTAGTGCAACACTAGCACTTCAGTTTTTTGAAAGTTTACTACAAGTTGTTCTTTAAGGCAAAAGGAAGCCAATGCCCTCAATGCCCTTCTTGTTCCCACCTGGGAGACCGACAAAATTACAACATTGTCTGCATATAGCAAGGCTGGAATTGCACGATCTGCTAACGTCAGAGAGTGATAATTAGAAGATGAGAGAGCCTGAATTATTGAACTGATGTACAAATCTCTTTCAATGATCGAAATCCATCTGATTTTGTTAGTCCTTGCAACAGAGGTGCCTTTGGCTCAAAAAAAGAAAAAGAAAAAAAAAGGACCAAGCGTTGTGTTGACCATGCTCTGTGGTCTCTCTCTGGAAGAGAGAACCAGACCTGTCCCTTCCTTCTCTCAGGCCGGGCTCAGACACAGCAAACACGTCCTCCAACAGCTGCCAATTTGACGACAGTTCTGTTGGTGTCAGGCCTAGCCCAAAGAACTCCTGGAGACCATGCAGGTTCAATCAGCAAGGTTTATTTGCCAG